ATCAAACACATGTATTTAGAAAACAGTACTATAACCTTAATATCTTCATTTCGAAGTATCAAAACTTTCCAAGGAGCCATTTTCTTCTCACTATGGTTTGAATATTTTTTAATTTGTCCAGTTTTTATATGTTCCTATCTCAGTATGCTCTTGATATTGTACCCATTGTTATTGTACTGTTAACCAGTCAAGGAAGTCATAAACTATTCTAACTCACAGTAAGCCAAGTTATTAAACCTTTAGTCTATCTATGTTTGTCAGAGGTAGAATTCGCAATTTCATATTATCTAACACAACAGTCAAAGAGTTGTTACAAACTGCTTATAACCATCTGAAAAATCTTATCCAATTTTAACTTATCAAGTCCTTTCGTCAGATGAATTAACTAACTGTTTTTGCTAATTCATGAACACATTGAATAATAACTTGTTCAGGTGTTGAGGAAGTTAATCCAAATATATTGTCTGAGATGAATTCTTCCCAGTTTTAAAATATATGATTCAAGAGATTACATTTGATAAGCAACAAATAGCTCCAGAAATTTTGAATTCAGTATTAGTTTACGCTTAGGAATTGACTAAATATTCTATCGAAAAACGATATGTCAGAATACATTTTTATGTAAAATCCCTATTTATTTTCACTCCAGTGAGCCTTGCATCATATTTCAGGTGTTCGTTGAGTATCCTGAATGCAATATGATGCTAACAATAGTTAAATAACAATTTAAAGATTCCTAGGAGACATCCAGAATGTTAATTTTCTCAGCGAGCATATGTTTCCGATACCTTCTCCTCAGACTTTACAGTTATACGTCGATAAATGTGACTAAGAACATGGCATTGTGTAGGGCATCAAGAAAAATATACTCGATTACACTGATACCTTCGCAATACTAACAATTTACAGTAGTTTTGCAGACGGAAATAGTTTTAGCTAAATCTATTAGTTTTACGAATAAATAAAGAACCATCTTAACAGTTTCAGTTGACTTTGTTTTCTGTTGATTTAAATTTATTTAATATATATAGAACTGCAGTGAAGGAAAGTCATGCAAGTTAAATTTTATATGATCTATGCTATTGACTTCAATTTTCATCTTCTTTTAAAAAGAACAACATTCAAATAATCGCGAATAGTACAGTTTTATTATGAGTTGAGGTATTGAAAATGACTAAAAGATTTAAGGTTTAAGAATTTCGTTCTATTACTTCTTTTTTCCCAATGTACGTTAGTTGAAAGGTGAGACGACTGCCGCCACTGCAAAACAGACTTATGAACCTGAATTATCTTGTTTTATCGTAAAAGTAATCAAAAGTAAGGTAGCACTGTACTGATATTTTGTACTCCTCACCAACTCATGATAACGACAAGTCCCTGAATAAAAGAGGACCTATGGGTTTTCCAAGACTAATTCAGACTTGTTTTAAGGTTTATATTGACAGATAGCCGAATTCACGTCACAGCTTGCCAAATACTTTTAGTTCGATATTTTGCTTCTTTTTTATACTGGGTAATAATTCATTTTATTTGACCACGTAATATATTTTGTATAATGTTAAATATTCATAAAAATGATTGGTGAATAAATAATTAACAATACAGTTGAAGTCCTGTCATGTAACTTAGGTTGTTGTCTGTCATACTTCAATGATAAATATATTCACAGTGTTGGTTTCCAATAGTACTAATATTGACGCTTACATATAACTTCTGTTTTGTTTATTTTCTTACCGACAACACGTTTATTTATTAATGACCACCCTATGACAATAACGTGAATAACTTGACTGCTTGCATACTGTATATATTACCACTTATAAACATGTAGGCGAAGAGATTTTTTTATCTTAACAAAAGCACTGGGATTTGACTGGTCATCTGTCTAACATAACATGTTTTTCAATTATATTCAGGGTTTAAACAGATATTTTCTCTCAGCATCTACATCCTTAGGCATAAAGCCTATCAAAGCACGCACAGTACACCTTCTCTACAGACTGATCGATATTTTTTTATACAACGTATGAAGAGATACAATGCCAAACTTTGAGAACTCCGTGATTTGACAATTTTGAACACTTCCTTTTGCACAGTACCCTATATTTGGGGTAGCTGACTAATTTCAATGTAGTCTTGAACACAAACTTACCAGTCAATTTCTCTTATTTTTTTCAGTGTTTCTTGGTTGTCGATAGTTTTCTAAATAATGTTATTTCTTAATGAAAACTTGATTACATGAAATATGTAAAAATATGCTATTTAAGCATACACAGGTTATAAATCACATATGTTTCATCGTAAAATGTGACTACTAGTGGTATATTTATGTATTTAACGTTTATATTTGTGAACATACTATATTTTTAATATTACATTCAATTTCAGTGGTGCAGTTTCACCACTACTTGGAACACCTATTTCGTACATGCACATGTCTTCTTAATTTTTCGCTGGTGTGACAATTTTTAAACCTGATAACATTCTCATCATCTATAAAATGATTAGATTTCACTAATATATCTGCTTTATGTTGTCAATATAACCTCTGTGTGTTTATTTTCAACGTAAAATACCACTTAGTGTGGATGTAAGGTGAATTTCGTCAGAAGAAATCATGAATTGTTATATTTCTAATATCAGAAATGTACTTATCACATCGTCTAGTATTTCATTGTCCGAGATTTAGTAGGTCTGTGATATAGCAAAACGTTTAAATATATTCTGAATCATTCAATTAACTATGGTGATTTTCTTTTTCAGTGCAAAGTCAGGCTACTAGCAAATAAAGCACAATGAGAGAAAGGATCCAATACATCCGAAACAAAGTTACGTACACAAGCACTTCTTCGTATTCGACTTAACCAGTTCCTATTGAGACCTTGTTTAATGACTAGTCAACGTAGCTTGTCTCAGATAAGTAACGTGTATTTGAATGAACACCACATTGAATCGTATCATTTGTAATGAAAACAGGATTTAAAAGAAGCTTGTGCATGTATTTATGACGGAGGTTGTGGTTTCTAAAGCCAAAGATTTCGATACTCATAATTCATGGGATAAATTTAAGAATGAATAAAAGAATCGGTTCAGTAGTTTTGAAACAAACGACATAATATCTAGGTCAGATTTTCTATTAAAATCAAGCAAATTACAAAATCTAACTTCTTTCGCTCGTGAATGCCACAGACCGCAAATTTCAAGCCCAATAAGATTCACTTTGATACTTCAATTCGCATAGGTCCCAGTGAAAATTGCTGTCTTGCAAGTTAGCTGTTCACAAAATATAAGTAGTATAATTTTTTCGATAATATTTTATGCAAGTCGCACACAGTATGAGGAAAATGCACACGGTGAAGCTAAAAGCAGTGAAAATGATGACGGTTTCGAATTAAAGAAATGCCACAATGATTGGTACTGGCTAAGGAGCAGTATCCATCCTGGATGAGTGCAAACATCCGAAATAATAACCGCATTTCTTCACAAATTTCCTCCTGCAGTAATCCCAACTACTCACATATTAATGAATTTTACAAAGACAAGTCTTCGCCTACAGAAAGACAGGCAAGCCTCGAATAAAACACGCTTAGCTAACCAGGCTAAGTGTAGGTGTTTCCGGTATTAGAGTATTACTGTCAAAGTTTATGTTCAATGGAACCAAAACATGTGTGTGGAGGAAAGGTTTATTATCCGATCTTTGGAAGATGAAAATATCCTAATTATGAAATAAAATCCTTGACCATACCCTGAAAGAAATTCTTTCGTGTTAAAGCAGTTTCCTTGAATCCTAATCTGCAGAAATTCAAAAATACCTACAGGACACTGTAAGAGAAAATGAGCAACTTGATAATGATAAAAAAGTAAACTTAAGGATGATAATGTACCTGACATTCTGAGGATAAAGAATGAATGCACCCCGGTTATTGAGACTGATTCTAAGGATCTCCAAGACTCCCTTGACATCACTATTCAGAACCAGCCAGGGAGCCAGTATTCCTGCATATCAGGCTCAGGAAAAGTCAATCACCTCAAGAATTGATACAACTTCTCAGAAGACGTAGATTATCTGAAAAATGTGGTGTATTTGCGCTATACATTTCGAACAACCTGATCAAATATTTACTTGTTAAGGGGTTATATATGAAAACTGAAAGTGGGGGAGGGACAAATATGACATAAAGGAATCAATAATAAGAAAGATAATTAAAGGATAAAAGATAAGATTTGAAGACAAGCTTGGTAATCCGTTATCCAAATTCATATGAGGACTAATTGTTTAAAATACAACAAGCACTTACAAACAGTTGTAGTTACCCCGTATACTATTATTTTTTTAGTGTTAATGATTACAGATTTCTTGAATTAATTTTCCAATCACGTAACGCTGCTTGATGGGCAGATCATTCGATACTTAGCCACCATGAAGCATAATTGAACGGCATCGTTGTCTAAACGTCTGAGAACTACTCTGTCAGAAAGATTTGTTTCATTCACCAGAAATCTGCTGAATACCACTTTAAAGCGACTATAGTATACACTTCATACACAATTCACTGTATGCAAGCAAAACTTCGGAAATAAGTCATTCCTATGGTAGAATTGGGTTGTCAAATAGCCATCTAATCATAAACATGAGGACGACAGTCCTTCTCCTCTAACCCAGTGTATAACTAACTAACTTTTGAAGCATTGGGAATCTCTGATTTGTGTGACTAATGTTGTGTTCTCACAAAAGACACAATTATTTCTATATTTCTCCTCTTTGATTCAGTGAAGAAATTAGAACTGTCACAGTCCATTGTCGCTACATACAACCATCATGACTAATCTGGCATATGCTTTTGGAAACTGTAAAACATTTAAATATCATTCATCATTTCTCATTAGGCTTCAAGGTCATTTTAGTTAAGCTACGGATATGTAATATAGGACCAAATGAATCCAAGTCAATACTTTTGTAGTAGTGTAAAGGAATGTGTCAGCAAAACAACACATCAATATCAACATTAATTTCAAAGGTGTTTATTTTCATAACAATTTTACATGTCGTCATATAAAATGTCTTTTTAATGAATTTGGCCAGGTAAACACTAAATAGGCTCATTGTCATCTGAATCTATAGCTGCCCGACGACGATCAAACTACATATATACAGAAGAATGTGAAATTATCTAATCGAATTTCCTACCTTCACTGTAGTGGATTTCTGTGAGCCGGAAGAAACTTGCAACAGAATTTGCTTCAACTGTTCTTCATTCAGCTAGAAGTTTGTCAAAAGGTAAAATAAAAACTAGAATCAATCAGAGTGATGCAACAAAACTTCATAAACCAGAGGTGAAAATTCAATTTCTAAATTCTATCACATTTGATGATCAATTTGGATGTTCAGCAACTAAACGAAAAAAAATTAATTTCCTCCAAGTAGTATTGATCAGCTGGACACAAAATCCTGTAAAAAGTGATTTACTTTACTCAATTATTTTGATTAAATCACACTGTAGTAAAAGTGTTATACATGAGATAGTAGAATAGGTTACTTTCACTTTGATGGTTGATATTTGCGTGATTTATGAAAATAACATCAAAGAATTAGACAAAAACCTGCTTCTGACTGGCACAAAGACAGGCTACACGAGTCACCGACTACTAAGCGCTTGCACAGGTTTGAACACTAGTAGGTTCGGTTCGCTGGCATGAGAATCCGTAGATACCTCCAAGATGCCTTTCCAAGCCCAGCTTTCCCAGCTAAGTATTGAAGTCACTTGCCGTTATGAATAATTCTAAATCTTTTGATGAAATTTATCCCTTGCATCATCTGAACTGCAGTGAGTGGAAGCGTAGGCAGAGATTATAAACAGGCATCGGTAAGTCTCACTACCCTCCTAATTCTTGAAAATTCATTCCGTCGGACAAAATGACTGGTATGCAATCGGGAATCGCAATTTCTGCTTGAGAACTTAATGCTATATCCACTCCAGACAGTTCACGAGAACTGTGATTGGGTCTCCGGCAACTTGCAAAGTGGATTTTGAAGATTCACTGCATTGGCTAGGTGGGGTCAATTTAATAACCGCACTCAAGTCCTGTATACATGTCTCAGAAACAGCATAGATCCATGGTCAGAGATCCCAGAGCTATGGAAAAGCGATGCTTGTTGTTCGATTTGGCAGCTGGAGCTTCAATGGGAAATCAACGGCGAGGTATAAGGAGACTAGAAATAGTGTTTCGCTAGCTTGGATCGTTGGCACTGGTCGCAGAGTGAGAGGTTGAAATTGCAAGAAGACTAATAATGGGATCAGGAAGTGAGGGCAAAGTATAAGAAAAACGTGGGGATAGTAAGTTGTTTGACAGGGTTTTCTTTTCAACAGGAAGCGTGCGGGCGGTTGGCACTTCCCGGCCGCCTACACCTAGGAACTTGTTGCTCCACAGTTCCTAAAGGAGAAAACGGAAAAGATTTGTGGCTGCAGAGTTAATTAGATATCGACTCGAGGCCTATCATATAGCCTTTAAAGGATTTTTGGTGTGATATCTGATTGCTCTACCGCGGAATAGGGAGAACCAATACCGCCAGTATCACTATACCGTACAGCTGGGAGTATGCTACTTTAAGGACCGACCTTTGCTGAATCCTTTTCCATTATATTTAGGAAAGGCAGTATCAACATGGTAGCGCTGATCATCCGTGGGAGGAAACACCTACTGTTGCTACATTTAGGTCAGCAAGTAGTACAACTTTGCCCTCGAAATCCCATCACAGAGTACTGATTTCTACCATAACCGTAAACCTTTTTCCCAAAAGCTTGTTGACACGGTATGAACTCAAGAACAAGCCTTCCAGTCAGTGTAGCTCGTTTTGGTCACTGTGATATGCAAGTTCACCCAACACGTCAAGGTAGCAGCTATCAGTTGGGATAGACAACATTCTAGCTGATTTTTAATCAAAATATTAATATCAAGGAAGACCATATATGAAAATATCCATCTAAAGATTTCATCCAGGATTAATAATGGCAATGATGATGTTATTTCTCATCAAGCTTTAAATGACGGGTTAAACGTAACGATATAGTATGTCGTGTATATTTAGATATTTATATGGACTATGATCAAGATATGACCGAATAGTACCGCGAATATCGGGAGCTGAGCAAGAGGTTGACATGAAATAGGTTGCATTTGTGTAAGTCACATATTTAACATGAAATAGTTTCAAACAATTCCGTGTGAAATGTCAGAATTATTTGACTTCAAACACGCTGTGACATATATATATATATATATATATATATATATATATATATATATATATATATATATATATATATATATATATACTTCAATGTGTTTAAGTGCACACATGGTTAATACATATATTGAAAAGCACTGAGTTCTGCGTAACTTGGTAGACAAGTGCTACGCACACCGCAAACTGCCCTTATACAAAGAGGGCGGAAGGTCGCAATGAGAAAACTTGACCACTGAATTTATTTTCTACCACTGTTGTGCGACATTAGCATATATTATGCATTCTCCATTTTCTGTTGCCACTCTATCCTGAAATGTCTTGTCTATAGTTGCTCCCCTAGACAAAAATGATATCCTACTAGTACCTGAAACCACGTGCAATTTTTGCATTCGTAGATAAGCTACTAATAAGCACGCCGTTAACAGCAACGTAATATCATGACATGAGCTGATTGTATCAATATAGTTTGGATAATCCAGGTATAAATTAGCTGCTACTCTACCATATTAAAGTAACCCTCCAATTTCACATTTGGTGCAGATGTGAAAATCGGGCATTATGTGATAAATACAGATGACTGACACCATGAACTACATCTATTCAGTGTTGACCGATAATGCTGGCAGGCATGACTGGAAGGTCTGTGCCTGAAGAATCTTTACGACGGGTGATAAGCCTGAGGCTAAGGCTACGTAGAGGCCCTTTTCTAAATCCCCAGTTGAAAGCTTCCACTACCCTCAATGAAATTCTCCCAAGGAAATGGTGAACGAAAAATGATTCATTTTGTTGTTTTACTATGGCAGCCTTTTGCTTAGTCTCCTGGTCTTGTGCAAGAGGAGTGGGTTACCGTCAAAAACAATGAGACGAAGTAAGCCAAAGTCAAGACGAAAAGAATAGGGGGAAGGATGAGGAGCTACCCAATTAAAAACGAGGTAGGGAATGCAGAGCCCAAAAACGTGAAGCCACTCGAGCGCATTTTGACCGATAGTGCTCATTAACCAGCAACAAAACTGTTAGAAAGAGGTTTAATTTAGCAGTTTCGAATATGCTATATTAGAGCTCAAGCTAGGTCGAAAAACGATTACCTTAGGTCCCAAACGTCCACTTCGAGCCATATTTATGAGCATATTTTCTACCATCTGGGCTTTTTCTGGTTTAGTTATAGCAATAGTGTTTACTGAAAATAAATAATAGCTGAAAATGATACTCACAGCGTGCTCTTGCGTCTTGGTCTAAGATTCGAGCCAGAATATTAGCCCGAACTTCTTGGTTTCTTTTTTCCGACTCTTCTTTCCTCTTCGCATCTCCCTAAACAGAACGATGACCACTTCAGAGTATTAACGTACATCATCATTAGACTCGCCACCTATATTCATATTGATGGCATATGCCGAGGCAACCTATGTGACCTTCAATTCACATCAACCGGAAAAAACAAATATCCAATGTTCGTTTCGTGAGCGTGTGTAAACCAACAGATACTTTTCACTGGCTCCTGTTCCTTTTGGAGAGGGGTCTAGTTCTTGTTGAAGTTCTAGTGCAGTGTATCAACCCAATATACTGATGTAGCTCCGGTAAACTCAACCGGTGGTTTAACAATCGTAGTTCATTCAGCAGTGTCTTCTCAACTCTTTATGATAACAGCTGGGCTATTCGATGCCAGAATTAGCAGACGATCAGGAAGATAGGATAGGATATGCTTATATATGATTCATGGGTGGGCCGCGGGAATTAAACAGGCACGTTACAGCACATATGTTTAGTCCTGAAGTAAAGGAATCCTACTCATTCCTCAAAGCCACACTACTGAATAAAAGTGATCCCACAGATCGCCAGTGCCTGGACGAATTGTTTCGTGACATCGAGTTCAGCAGCAACTCAGCCACTGAAGTCGTCGCACGTATGTGAGAAGTTATGGGCACACGAACGTTCAATAACAGTCTTTTCCGAGAACCGTTTCTCTCAAAACTACCACAACCGGTACAAACCGGGTGGTGACAATTCAGCCAGTTCCACTTGATGATCTGGCAGCCTCAGCAGATAAAATACTGGAGATCTTTGGCAGATCCGTCTCCAGCGTGTATTCGGCCAGCGATAAACCCGAGAGTAGGGACTCATAAGTTATCAAGCTGTGCAACTCGTTTAACGTACCTGCTGCGAACTCGAAGCCCTAGGTTACGTGGCATACCACAGAAGCGTGTCTCAGCTCGTCTCAGCAACTCTCGTGGTTGCCCGAAAACTAAACCTAACAGGGTGGAAATCCCTAAATGGTGCTGGTTTTATAATGCCCACGGGGACGAAGCCCGAAGTTGAGGGAAGCCATGCAGTTCCAAAGTGAACACAAACTCGAGGGGCTATCACGCCGGCGCGCGTTCAGGGTAACCGTAGCTGGTGGAAACGGCCCTTTGGCTTCACGTCACCAATATAAAAATGAAAGTTCGCTACCTCGTCGACACCAGCGCAAAGGTTAGAGTTCTTCCCGCGCGGACAGTAGAGCGTCATCATCACCCATCCTTCGATCTTCAAGCAGCTACAGGTGCGGTGATAGCAATATTTGGGGGACAGTACACCTACCTCAACTTAGTTTACGTAAACCCATTCACTGGATTTTCCTCCTAACTGACGTTTCTGTGCCTATCATTGGCGAAGGTTTGCTGAACCACTACGACCTACTCGTAGACACCCGCCATCGACCACTGATAGATAACAACACAGAGTTATCTATTGGCTGCACCACCTACGCATGTCCGAGTTTAGCCATGGTTAGAACTAAACACTCGGGTGGCGCACCTTATCAGGCAGTATTAGGAAACCATCTAGGGTTACGACAACCAAAGCATACTCTCCGGTGCATAACCAGAAACATTACGCACCGCGTCTGCCGCAGTCCACCTGTGGCATGCGAGGTACGCGGTTCTTGCCCCTGATAAGCTCACGACGACGAAAATTGAATTCAAACAAATGCTCGAACCGGGCATTATCGAACCTTCAAGTTGTCCTGGACACCACTCTTGGTGGTTCCCAAAAAGGGTAGCAGCGACTGGCGTCAACCGAAGATTACCAAAGGCTTAACACAAAAACAACATCGGACTGCTACCCGATATCTCATGTTTATGACTTGGCAGCGTCTTTATGCAGAATGGACATATTCTCCAAAATCGATCCAGTCAAAGCACGCAGTCGGATACCTATAACAGCAGAAGATATAGCGAAAACATCTGTTATTACTCCTTTTGGCTTGTTTGAATTCCTGAGCAAGCCATTTGGTCTTCGCAGTGCAGCTTAAATACTCCAACGCTTTATGGATGGCTTCTTCCGTGGTTTAGATTTTGTTCATGACTACATCGATGACTGGCGTGCTAAGTTTTTCATTGCGAGTCCAGATAAGAAAACTCACCTTAAACATCTGGACCTCGTATTCAGTAGGCTGAGGAAAAATGTCGTCACAGTCAACTTGCAGGAGTGTGAAACAGGAGTTGAATCACCCAGCTTCCTGGGGCATACCATCGAGAGATGAAGTGGCGGCTATCGTGAACTATCCAAAGCCTACCACTGTGAAGCAGCTCTGCACTTTCAGTGGCCTAATCAGTTATTACCGAAGGTTTATTCCTAGCTGTGCCTCTGTCATAAGACCACTCACATATTTATTTCGAGAGACTGCGAAATGCGTGACTCTGGACAACGTGCCTAAACTTGCTTTCTCGAAAGTCAAGGAAGCCATTTCAAACGCAACCGCGCTCGTGCATCATGACCCCAATGCTCCTTTGAGTATTGCCGTTGATGCATCTGACTCAGCAACTGGAAAAGTTTTGCAACGGTTGACTGACAACCAGTGACAACCTTTGGCCCCTTTCCCCAGGCGGCTGCAAGAGGCGGAAACAGGATACGGTTCATTTGGTAGGGAGCTCCTGGCTACGTACTGTTCTGTATGCCACTTTCAACACTCGGTGGAAGGTCGTTACTTCATCATTTCCACAGACCATAAACCGTTAACTTTCTGTCTCAGCTCGTCACCTGACAGATACTCCACCAATGAGTCGCGACAACTGGATTACATTTCTCAGTTCACGTCAGATATCCGCCACATCTCTGGAGCAAGTAGATCTGTAGTCGACGCGCTGTCGAGAATAGCTTCGATAGACCTTATCGAGGGCATCGATTTCGTAGAACCAGATTGGTGCCAAAAAGAAGAACCTGAGCTGCACCATGAGTTGTCATCCAAAACTCGCAAGCTACAACTGTGTCCAGTAGGGCCAGGCAAGGATATAACTTTATGCTATGTGCCTGCAAGTCAACCACGCCTAGTAGTTCCGAAGATATCTCAACGAAAACGTCTTCAATAAGTTTGGAAAAACCATCCCATACAGGTGTATGAGCCACCATCAGGCCTATTGCACAATGTTTTTGCTGACCGGGAATGAATAGGTGAGTTGACGAGCGAGCCCAGTCGTGCTTCGCTTGTCAGAAGTGTGAAGTCAACGCGACACAAGAAAAGCCCTTCAGGTTCTTTGCCAGCCCTTGACATGCGTCTCGACCACGTCCATGTAGACAAATAAATAAATAACCATCTTTATTCTCAAGTTATAAATTTAACATGATAGAAGCCGGTTTACGGGTCTCATCAAACTGATAATTGCAAAGAATTATAAAAGATGTAGCGTCATACAATTCCCCAAAATCAATAGCCTAGGGTTTGACGACACCCAACATTGATGCTGACCTTGATAGTTTAACTGGACTCGCTAAGCTGAAGGCACCCGGTCAAGCATCCTCGCCATTTGGCACGCTGTCGTGTTACGTTGCACTGCTCGTATTCGACTCTCCAGCCAGTTAGTTGGAACGCATCGGTATTTTGGCATAACCATCCAAATATACTATTCCATCCGACTACACTATCGTGTCCTTCCTTGGTCTCGCATTCGTGGGTATATAACAAGTTCGAATAATTAGTGATTGGTCTTTGTGTCTGTCAAGTTCGCACCAGGACAAATCCTAAATTGGTGAGCCCGACGTGATCACATATCCCGACCAATAACAAGTATTGAATTGGTGAGCCTGTTCCATTAAATATTTGTTTGTTGTTTTCACTTCGATAACATTTATATACCCATTTACTACACTTTCTCATGTCCGACCACACTCCCAAGCTTATTCGTATTAAGCCGCCTTCGAACACGATCCAACTCGTGCCATATTGGCCAGACAGTGCAGAAACATGGTTTCTGTATGCCGAGGCAGATCTTCGAGAACAGGGTGTCTCAGATCCTCAATCTCGATTTCTTGCTGTCAAACGTTCACTACCACGAGAATTAAACAGGTTTGTTACAGCAAACATGTTTAATCCTGAAGTAAGTAACCCTTATGCACTTCTAAAGGCCGCACTCTTGAAGAAAAGCGATCTCACAGATCGCCAACGTCTAGACGAATTGCTTCGTAACATCGAGCTAGGCAGCCACTCAGCTACTGACACTCCAGTCAGTCCCACTCGACGACCTGGCAGCCTCAGCAGACAAAATACTGGAGATATCCAGCAGACCCGTCTCCAACGTATATTCTATCTGCGACAAACCACAGCACCAGGATTCGGAGGTGACCAAGTTGTGCAACTCTGTGAAACGGTTGCTACGATCTCGAAGTCCTAGATCACGTAGCACTTCACAGAAACGCACCTTGGCGCATCGCAGCAAGTCGCGTGGTAGCCCTAAAACGAAACCCAACAGGGTGGAAAACCCTGAATGGTGCTGGTTTCATAACACTTACGGGGATGAAGCCAGAAAATGTCGTAAACCATGCCGTTTTAAGAAGGACACAAACTCGGGAAACGGTCACGCCGGCACGTGCTCACGGCAACCGTAGCCGGCGGAAAAAGCCGTTTGCTCTACGTCACCGACGTTAAAACGAAAGTCCGCTACCTCGTCGACACCGGCGCAGAAGTTAGCGTTCTTCCAGCAACGACAAAGGAGCGTCATCTTGACCCATCCTTCAATCTTCAAGCAGCCAACGGCAAGGCAATCGCGACATTCGGGAGACGGTATGCCTACCTCAACTTAGGTTTACGCAAACCTATCCACTGGATCTTCCTCCTGGCAGACGTCTCTATGCCCATCATTGGCATAGATTTGCTAAACCATTACGATCTACTCGTAGATGCTCGCCGTCGACGACTGATAGATAACACACAAAGTTATCTATTGGCGGCACCACCTATGTAGGTCCGAGTTTAGCCATCGTTAGGACTAAACAATCAGGCGACGCGTCCTACCAGGCAGTTCTGGAGAAATATCCAGAGTTACACAACCGAAACACACTCTTCCGTGCATAACCAGCAATGTTATGCATCACGTCACAACCGACGTGGGCGCCAATTCGAGTGTGGATTATTTCACGCTCCAAAGGCACTTTTAGGTTGCACTCGGTTCCGAACGACAGCCTACCATCC